CCCCCCCCCCCCCCCTCTCCCTCCCTTCCTCAGTGTCGGTCGGTCATACGAGCGGCTCCTTCTTGCTGTGTGTGCTGTTGATGCTCATGACCGTGTTGGCCGCCTTGCTCTTGTCCGGCTTTTCCGACCTGACGAAGCGGCGCCTACGGACTGATTTGATATATGACCACACACACATTAAAACACACACAGATGGGTGGGGAGAGGGGTGTGGTGTGTGGTGGGGCTGGAGGGGGTCGGCAGGCAGGCTTGCTCACAGACTCACTCTTGCGAATGAGTTTCTTCTTGTGGCTGTGCTGGGCCTTCTTGAGGAATGGCCGGTGCTCCGCCCACAGCTCGTCGCGACACTTGCTCTCGCAACACGCCACCCACTCTTCCAAACCTGACCGACCGACTCAGACAGACGGACACACAGACAGACAGACAGACAGACAGCGACACATAAATCTGTGTGTGTGGCGCGTGCCGGCCGTGTGTGTGTGTGTGTGTGCCCCCACTCTTCTTTCTAGCGTCGATGAGCCTGGTGCGATCGCGCTTGACCGGCCCACGGTACTGGCGGAACACCCCGCCATCATCTCCTACTGCACACACACGCACAGGAATGGCGTGTGTACGTGATTTCTCTCTGTGTGTGTGCGTGAGGGGGGGATGTGGGATGTGTGTGTAGAGAGGTCACCGTTGCCCACAGCCTTGGCCCCCCCTGCCGCCCCCTCCCTCTCTCCCTCCCCCTCTCCGTTGACACAGATGAGGTCGTCATCGGCCGGCTGCAGCGGGGCTGGGGGCGGCTTCTTGGCGGGCTGATGTATGTTGACACACACAGACAGGGTAAGGGTGGATGGGATGGGCTGGTGTGGGTTGGGGTGGATTGCGGTGTGCCTGTTTGGCGAGCCATGAGGTCATGAGGTTGGCGGATTTCTTCTTGGCCTTCTCCTGCTCCTCCTTCTTGGTCTCCTTGGCCCTGTGGGCGTGTGCACACACGCATCGCATCATTCAGCAGATGGATATCGGCGTGTCATGTCAGGTCGCTCTCTCACCGCTTCTCGCCCTGGCATAGTCCCCCCCCCC